GCTTTTAGCCTGAACTCTCACCATTCACCAAACAGCCTCACACACCCTCGCTGAGGTGTTCGAGGGCCGGGACAATGATGATTTCCCTGACCTTGAAGAACGTTTCCTGACCCGTGGCAGGCCTTGAATTTCATTTGTTAATTACAGTAGAACCCCCACTAACAGCCACCTCACAAAATGACCACCTCCAAACAATGGCCACTTTTTTGTCCCAGTAGGCGGTTCATACATGCACTCTTATTTCAACCTTTCAACAATGGGCAGCTCTCTACAACGGTAATGGCAACAGCCTCTAAAGTGGGCCCCAACTGCCTAAATAACCTCTACAATGGCCAGTTAATCAATGACTGACCAACCCTGAATACAAAACCTCCCTTTTAATTGGAAAAGGTAATAAAACTTGATCGGTGCTGCACATTGTTGGTTGCTGTTTCTGTTAATGATATATCTTGATTGCATCACTTATTTATATGCTACAACAGGCATTTTTACAAATAAAAATGTTGCAATCCTGAAAAAAGGTGTCATATTACACCCCTACATGTACCTCCCTTTTCACTGACCCCAAGGTGGCCGTCACAGAGAGGTTCTACTGTAGTAATTCTTGGATTTACCTTGTTTTCACTCCATCAAACATTCCTGTGTTAATGAAGAATGGGCAGACAACAGTTGTATGGACACCAGTCTTCTTCATTGCATTAAGCTCCATCATCAGTGATTCATCAAAGCCGACTGCTCCAAATTTCGACGCAGAGTAATCACACAAACCACACACTCCAAACAGGCCAGCAGATGATGCTATTGTCACAACATGACCATGGTTTCTCTCCAGCATGGATGGTAAAAAGGCTTTTGTAGTCTGTTGTAAGGGTAAAAAGACAAAACTTATGTTAATGTAAATTGTTCAATTTCTTGCACACTTATCAGGGGTTTCATTAAGAGCTGAGCACTGGGCAGGCAACTTGACTGGCCGTGAGGATGATTTTGCCTGTCTGGTTTGACCATCTAGAGGAAGGTTTTTGTTGCAAGAAGTTCACTTCAAAAACCTTCGCCAGCTTGCGAAAATCAGTTGCAAGATCAGGGCTTGAAAAAAGTGCCCTCTGCTAATCCGGGAGAGGTAGATTCTCCCTCTAGACAAATAACTTTTCACTCTGACTTGCCCGTTAGGCAAGGGATCAGGCAAGTCATGTGCCAACTAAATCATTAAAAGAGCAAACTAAGACTTGCCCAGGGCACCAAAATTTTAGAGCTACTTGTCCCAAGAGCAAGCTGGAATTCAACTTTTTTTTTTGAGTCGGCCTGCTCCTGCTGAAAATGTGAATGAAACCCCTGCCTTAATTGACTAAAATAAGAGCAGACACATATAGATCATGAGTTTCCTCAAAGAGAGAACAAAATTGTTTAAGATAACTTATAAAATTTTAGATTAGATTCAACTGCATGGTGAAAAACATGTGTTTAAGTCAAAGTTTGACGTCAATCTCTATGAACAGATTCTACTTTTCTGTCTGTGTTCAAAGTACTGGTCAATCAATAAAATCAATCATATATTTAGACTCTTTTTACCTATAGGCTTAAAGCTTGTTCAAAATACAGAAGTGCTAACTAAAGATCTGACTCAAGTTAACTGAACTTGGCAGTAATACAGCTGGTTTTCAAGAATTTCTGAATGGAATAGAGGTTAATAAATTACAGAAATTCCATTTCTGCAGTTTAGTTTTTCAGTAGTATTTGTATGTACAGCTGTAATTTAGTTTGAAGTTTATGACATCATGACTTCAGATCATTTTGACTACATGAAATTCAGGTTCTCTCACGCTTTGTTCCAGTGATTTCTCTTATCAGAGGTCTACCCTTGATTGTTTTGGCTTTCTGTTACTGTAAAAAAAAAAACAAATTGACACCAGCTCTTAAATAAGCCTCTGTCCTACTCTTGATGATAAATTTTGTTATAACATTGTCAAAGAAGTTTGTGGACGCACTTGGCTACATGTATGTACCTTGTATCCACAGCTGCTTTGACATTAATGTTATGACAAAATTTATTATCAAATCTTGGACAGATGCATACAAAACTAGTGTCAATTTGTTAAATATACCGTCAGTTGTAAAAACAAATTGCCGATAAACCATGATCTTTCGTTGGCACAGAGTTGGTATTATTTCACTTAATATGGGAAATATAAAACACACTAAAACTTAGCACTGAATGCCCTAGCCAACTTGAATAATTTGTGCAAATTGTGCTGCAATGATGGAGAGTTCCCTTCAAATGAACATCTAGTCAAATTTCACCTTTTTCGTTGTTTCACAAACTAAACAAAAAAATTCCAAATAATTGTCACTTGAATTGGAGAACCTGTTCCATAACACTAGCAAAAACTTTAGAGGTTAAACTAAGTCTTGCCTGTCTGGCCAATTTGGGAATAATTTGGAAAGTATGATCATGTGTAGCTGAACTGGAATTTTGCCGAGGGGTTGGAAATTCAAAAGAAGAACCTCCCTTGAACAATCTGGAACAATACATTGCCCATTTTGGTTTCCTGATTATTAACCACAAGAGAGGGAGGAATACATCCACACCCCACCCCTCTCCCCACCATACCACTTGAATTTGGACCTTGACCGAGATGAGCAGAACATGCCAAAAAAGCGTTCATTCGAGCCTTACCGATGAAACGAAGCAACAAATGAAGCTACAAAGTGATTTGAATGAAATACCTGACAAAATCAAACGCGATAAAGAAAAAGAAAAGAAATCTTAGAAAACATGACCTTTGACGTGTTCGTTTCAGTTCGACAACAGTGCAATGTGTGTAAACACACGTTCATACAGGCCTCGTGCGCTGGTGTTCACACAATATATTTTACTCTTACGTACACAACATTAATGTAACCTCACCCAAAAGTGTGCCATCGTGTTAACCTCAAAGGTCTTCTGAATCTTCCAATCTTCTGTTTCCATGAATTTTTTGCCGCTGACGATCCCTGCGTTATTGATCAAAATTGTGACTTCGCCGACTTCGTTCTTTACAAGTTCGGCCACTCGATAAATGTCATCTCGGCTGCTACAGTCACACTTATAGCCCCGAGCCTGGAAGCCAAGAGATTTGATTTCTTCCACCGTAGCTTCGTTAGCAGTTTGATTTATGTCGACGCAGATCACTGTGGCTCCAAGCTTGGCAAATTTGAAGGCTAACATGCGACCAAGACCGCTTCCCGCGCCCGTCAGAAAAATGATTTCTCCATTGATGTCCTTCCGTGGAGGAGGGAAAAAAAACTGAACAAACGACTTCAGATATTGCCAGAGGACCAACGCTATAACAGTGAAAATTTCGACAATTAGATACGTCATTATGGAGCGAAAACGCTTTCAGAAGTAGAGCAAAATCTGTCCGATGTTGAGTTCGATTCACGGTGTGTGCGTTCAGAAAGGAAACGATCCGTATAAATATTCACGCGAACTAAGCCAATCTGATTGGTTTAGAATTTCTTGCTTCCAGGCCATCCGTGAGTTTATCGAAAGGGCATTCAAGGGCAATTCTAAAGTACGCTAATCAAATGACTGAAATTTTCAGATGACATTTGTAAAACCCAATAATGGTCAAATGATAAGGAAATACTCACATCCCGTGATGTGGCCGATTCAATGTCGCTGAAATCGGAAGGTCAAACAAGGACACTCTCCGAGTCGAGTTTAATGGCGCCGATCTTTTAATACCTCTTGCCTGGAAGAGTTAATACTCAGCCCTTGTTCGCAAGTCAAACAAAAATAGCCTAAGGTCACCTTAGATGTGGAAATCCCGTCACAAAAATATTATAGTAGCAATTTTTTATCGGCTCCTCGAAGGGAGTGGTAATCTGGGCTGATGTTAACGCTGTATTTCAAAGTTCATATGGGGAACAACGATCGATCCTTCTAAAAATAAACTAACGTCCTTTGGAAAAAAATTTAACATACCAGTTCAACTTGATTCATAGTTCAATGCCGATCACATGCTAGAGCCAAATCACAAAGTTCTACTCTGATTTGAAGTTTGCACCTTGGTGGGTCTTTCCTAGACTGTCCACAAGCGTTTCTCTCTTCTTATAGTTGTACCCACTTCTTGGTTTTAAGCTCTCATCTGTGAAGAGGTTCACTCTTAGGCACTTACTCTGGGGTCATTTATGATGCCGGTTCTTTCAGAACGTTAACAAAAAATCATGACGAAAATTACCAGATTTGTTTTGCAATATTTATTGTAGAAAATTACGAAATCAAATTTTAAAAAAATCAAATCTAATTAACAGTACAGTAACGAATGTTGCGTTTTTTTAATTTAACAAAATCCTACTCTTACTAACTAGTAATAATTTTTCATACATAAAAATAACTATTTACAATAAAACCCTAAGAAACTAAGGTTATTGGCGTTTGCAAAGCGCAAAGTCCTGTTTTAACCTATCCGATTGAAGCTGCTGTATTTTCAGCCAATCAGATGGCAAAATGAGAATCAATCGTGCTGAGCTCACACGAGATTTGTATCGGTTAAGACTAGTTACCAAGGTTACATGTTTTCAGTCCCGTGTGTTTTCCCACGCTTTGCAATGAGCGGCTACATATGTTCTCGCGTATTCCATCAGTTATATGTTCTGCTTTGAATTGTTTGCTTGAAGTAGGTCTAAAATTACTAGCTTTATATCTTTAAAAAGAAAAAAGGAAAGTGTTTGGGTATCTGCCGAAAGATTCACTTACATATGAACCCATTTCTTTATAAAGAGAAACAGAAACAACTTTCAAAGTAAATAACGATGCTAAAAATAAATACTTTACAAAGGCCTTGTAAACGTAAATAACATTAAATACTCTCAAACAAGGATATGCGAAAACTTATTTACAAGGATCCCTGGCCAGCAAGAGTGAAAATAACTTAAATCATTTTCCAAGCTATTTTAAAGTAAAACGCTTAGCTAGTAGTAAAAAAATTTCAGAGCTAAATCTATACATGTAAAAAAATAGTTTAGGAACTGCAATTATCTTTCACGATCACAGTCTATCTAAACGAAAACGCGCGTCTTGCGCGCGCGAACGACTCGCTCTGCGCGTGGCTTTCATTAAGAACAGGACAAAAGATAAGTCACTCTCTTTCGTCTTCTTCGATTGGAAGATCGTGCATTAAAACGTTTCATTAAAGCGTAAATTCTCTCAAGAGATGTCTAAGAAAATATATGGAAACAGTTGGGTGAATTTAAAGGTTGAGGCTAGGCTAGAAAATGCTTTGAAGAAATTGAGAAGCATCGAAACTTCTATCGATCAAAGACTCGTCAAGCCATCACGCGCTAGCGATGGTCAATCTGGATTAACAATAACTTCTTTTGATTGCAGTGATCTAAAAGCGCTTAATATGGAAACACAAGCTTAGAGCATAGTTAATAGAGGGAAATGGTTACGAAACCTGGTAAAGTTCTTTGTTCTATGTTTTTGTTGGTTATTTTGGGAGTTGACCCTGCACAAAACCTGGCAAAATAATATAGGTGGTCACGTGTGCTCATACAACTAACCAATAGAAGCATTGCGATTATGTAATTCGTGCATAGTCAATGAGCATAAAACAAAAGATGTGCAGGGTCAAGGACCCTCCAACATAAATCTTAGGCTCTTTGTTTGCTTTTCTTGATGTTTACCGGGCTTCTTAACCATTTCTCTCTGTTAACTATGATTAGATTGAAATATGTTGAAATAGTGTGTCCAACTTACACTGCAAATTGATTATGATTTGCTTTCAAAAGTCGAAATATTAAATTCCTCTAGCAAATGTACCTACATTTTCCTTAATGTTAGTTTGGAGAATCTGGTAGCTTATCAAGATAATATCTCGTTTTCGATGATTTTCTTGATCCTGATATTTGTCTGCTTGACAACGACATTAAAGTATAGCGTTTGCCTTTTATCATTTGTTGTTGTACTTGTTAATGAATCTCTTGTGACGCCTAAGAGTTTGGTGTCTTTCCATTTGTCCTTTTCGTTTCCGATACAAAAATAAACTTTTTTAGAGATAGCACATAGTAATACAGTTACCGTAAACTGCCGCTGAAAAGTCCCCCCGGTTATGGGCCCATGTACTTGTAAACCAAAAACTACCACCGGTTATAAGCGCCCCTCTACCTTTCCTTCTTTGAATTTGTTTTATTATCATGTTTTAAAGTTTAGTTACCAGTAAATGAAACACCTATTTCGATCAACATGTGCAGTTATAGCTCGTTTAGAAACAGTTTTTATATTTCGGTTTTAAGCCCCCCACGGATATAAACTCCTCCGTTTATAAGCCCATCTAAAAACCGTAACGAAGTTGCATAGTCCCAGGGCTTATAAGCGGCAGTTTGCGGTACAGTAATATGCTAACTTCTTTACAGCATCTAAGATACTTTTGCCTTGTCGCGTCCACCCAGTCCTACACGGGCGAAGGAGATCGCGCAGTCTTGGGAACTTCTAACATCACTGAAGGTCTCCGAAGAGATGACTCGCTGATTCCTGACCCGGCCCGGGACCTCGCTCTTAGACTCGCCCGTGAGCCTCTTGCACTGTCCATGGACTGGTACGTGGTTCCTTTAATAAGCGCTTGTTTGATGCTCTCATCCATGCCGGCCACGCCCATTTCACCAAATACCTAATAAGGGAAGAAGAGGAGAATATGATACGTCGATTAAGGGTGCGTTCCTTTGGGGTGATCCGGATCCGGATCAGTCATCCAAGATCACTCGGATCATGGTGCATCAAAGGAACCGACGAATCCACTCTGGTCACAGATTCATCGGTTCCTTTGATGCACCATGATCCAAGTGACCTTGGATCACTGATCCTGATCCAGATCACCCCAAAGGAACACACCCTAACATCTTAAGCTTCGTAGAGGAATCCATAACTTCATGCCAAGTCGAATCTATCTACTGATCAATGAATTCATCAGTCAGTCGATCGATCTGCAGGGGAAGCAGTCATCTGTCTGACTGTGTCTGTCTGTCTGTCTTTCTGTCAGACAAACAGACAGACAGTCATTTATCAGTCAATCAGTCATCCGTCAGTCCATCCGTCAGTCCATCAGTCAGTCTGTCAGTCAGTCATGAGTTCGTCAGTCAGTCAGTCAGTCAGTCAATCAGTCATCCGTCAGTCTGTCAGTCCATCAGTCAGCCCATCAGACAGTCAGTCATGAGTTCGTCAGTCAGTCAGTCAGTCAGTCGGTTGGTCAGCCAGTCAGTCAGCTGGTCAGTGAGTCAGACGATCGGTCAATTTGTCGGTTAGTCAGTCGGTCAGTGGGTCAGTTGGTCAGACAGTCAGTCAGTCAATCAGTCAGCCAGCATGCCTTCATTCATTTCTTATAGTACAAGGGCAAAAGACAGAGACAGGTTAACAACAAAGAAACATTTCCATACCTCGACAATAGCGCCGTCAGGAAGCCTAAGGAAGTGCCTATAGAGCTCTCTCAATCCATCCAAGTGAATCGTGTGTATAGACACGTGACTCGTGATCTCACGGTGCCCAGTCTTCTTTCGGTCTGAGGCTCCCATATCAGACTCGTCAATCTATCACGCAAAGAACTGGGTCAGACCATGTCAAAGGATACATCGAGATGATAACATGGCGTGTTATCGACACATGACACTGACATCAGTCCATGAGAGACATCAGTTACTTAACACTACTTAAAGCACAGTGTTCCAAGGAAGCAGAAACGTTCTAAAGCAATGGTTTATCAGTGAAGCCCCGAGAAAATGAACAAACTTTGTAATTTCTGGAGACAGTTAAGACTTAGCCGGTCTCAAACTCCCATGTTCCCACCAAGGAACGTGTCTAGTCATCGGAAAAATCAAAATGGAAAGCTCAAGACTGTTTAATAATTAACAGCCAACAAGGAACACAAAAACTACAAAGTAGTTTTGTTCAAGCGACAACAAATTGCTATTTCTGATGGTTTCATGTACGAGAGTTAAGTTTGATGACGTAAAACTACAGAGACCCGTGTAGCGTTTCTGATAGGTTACTATTTGCGCGCGAAAATTCAAAACCAATTTACAACCAATCACAGAACCGTCTAGGGCTACGTCATCAGTATGGAATTTTCGGGTTCAGACCTCTCTCGGACGACGCAAGAATTGAGCGTGTAAGGATATGTATCTGTTATCTCAAGCTAAACTAGTCAAGCAAGACACAAACCTGCTCTTCTTCCCAAATGTAATCATAAACAGCAACTTTCCTTCTCTCCCCCTCTTCTCCTCGCCATTGTTCAGCCTTTTTGGCCACATAACTCAGCTCCACGTTGGAAATTTCCAGGTCGTACGGAATGAAGAACTCATCTTCCCTTGCATGAAGGCGGTGATACACATCCATCAGTCGGCCATTGTTGTGCAAACGCAGGAAGTACATGTAGAGTACAGATGAAGCAGTGAAGAGAGTCACAACGTACAGGAAGATTGTCAGAACGATTCCCACGGCGCCATTACCGTCAAACCGGAAGAAATGCCAGTAGAGTTTGAAGGCGTCTCCTATAGGGACGTCGCCTCCCACGTTCAGAAACCTACAACACATGCAAATTCTCCTTACTGTTTTATAAAAATTTACAGCCATAATCTATGGAGAATTTAGCTCTAAATTAGGACGGTTTTAACCTAGCAACATGATTTCAGTGACTTCCTGGAGCTGAGATTTTCTTCAAAAACTAAATTGACCACATTTTGTCGATTCTAAACTCGTTCAGTTTAGACTACTAGCGTTCTATCACGAATGCCGTTCCATTGTTGGCTACGCTCCTTGCCATCTATTAAACAATTGGATTATGAGCTCGAGATTTCTATCACGCATAGAAATCGAGAGCGAAGAATCTAATTGTTTTAGTATAAATCTAGTAGTCGTTCAAACCTTTATCTCAATCCTCTTCCCAGACACTTCGAAAACGCCAAGAAGCGGACGTCATTTTGTTAACAAGGGCCCACTGTTGCGCTACTCACTATCTATCACAGATAGTGAGTAGCGTAGCCGATCAGAGAACGGCATTCGTGATAGAACGCTAGTAGATTTATACCAATCGTAGATAGTGAGTAGCCTAGCAGTGTGCGGTTGTCAAAAGAATGGCGGCCGCGTCTTTGCGTTTTCGAAGTGTCATGAACCTGTCTTGTTGTTTATGTTTTGAACGATTAAAAAAATTAGATTCTTCTCTCTCGATTAATATGGGTGACAAAAATCTCGAGCTCATAATCTAATTGTTTCACACACTACAGAAATAACGCCAGAAAACTATAAGTGGTTGATTTGTTAAATACGCGAACCTTTGCTGACGTCATTGTTTACAATTTTCCTCATTAACAGTCGACTTTGCGCTACAAACATTTAAAGAGCTTGTGAAATTAAGTATTTGGTGTAAATTTTGGCTCTCCGGGTGTAATACTCGAGGAGAAACTAGCTTCCAAGAAGTGCAAAATTTCTGGGTGGCAAAAGCGCCAGTGAGCTCATACATTCTTTGTAAAACTTACAGTTTTAAACCCGCGTCGCACGAAAAGTATTCAATACATCGGGTTCAGATTCCTTAGGACAGTTAATCGTGCGGTATCCTTTCAATATTAAGAATTAATGTTTTTATAGCTCCATCAGAAACTGTATCGCCTATGCTTCTGAGGCGAATATTGTAAACAAAGATCCTCCTATATACTGACCTCATGAGTGCAGAATCAACGATCAGAATCCAAATAGGATCAAGCAATACATTGATGCCATACGCCATAATAAAACGAGAGAAGATGTTTGGAGAAGTCCCAAAAAGCCTCTGAATAGCCCAGGAGAAGATCACCAGCAAACAGAACAGGACGATGTTGAAGAACGGTCCTATAACTACCATACTGATCTCTTCTACTGTGTTCAAAAGCGTGCTTTGATAGTTCAGATTCACCGTGTAGGCTTGGAATTCATACCTAGTGTAAACAAAGACAGATATTGTTTTAGAACTAGTAAGCAAGAGCAAACATATACTGTAAGGTGTGTCAGTTATCATAAGCTCTCCGAACATCATGACACTGTCGTGACATAAAATACAAATTCTGACTACACAACACGAGACATTCGATGTGAATAGTTTATTGAGGATGCCTCAGTCAGTCAGTCACCTGATGCAGATGTATTCCGTCTTATAAGATAATCTGTACCCTTGCCCTTACCCTTACAACTATTGGTTTTGACAATAAGAACCTGTGCTACGCCAGATACGAAAAACCACTAAAAAAAATCCCTTTATATGTGGCCAAAAAATATGTGGAAACGTATTCCTCATCTAATGCATCAGCGCAAGACCCCAAGGAAAGGGTACAAAATCGATAAGCTACATGTAGAACATTTCACAATTTGACGACAAGCTGTTNTGTAGAAAATTACGAAATCAAATTTTAAAAAAATCAAATCTAATTAACAGTACAGTAACGAATGTTGCGTTTTTTTAATTTAACAAAATCCTACTCTTACTAACTAGTAATAATTTTTCATACATAAAAATAACTATTTACAATAAAACCCTAAGAAACTAAGGTTATTGGCGTTTGCAAAGCGCAAAGTCCTGTTTTAACCTATCCGATTGAAGCTGCTGTATTTTCAGCCAATCAGATGGCAAAATGAGAATCAATCGTGCTGAGCTCACACGAGATTTGTATCGGTTAAGACTAGTTACCAAGGTTACATGTTTTCAGTCCCGTGTGTTTTCCCACGCTTTGCAATGAGCGGCTACATGTGTTCTCGCGTATTCCATCAGTTATATGTTCTGCTTTGAATTGTTTGCTTGAAGTAGGTCTAAAATTACTAGCTTTATATCTTTAAAAAGAAAAAAGGAAAGTGTTTGGGTATCTGCCGAAAGATTCACTTACATATGAACCCATTTCTTTATAAAGAGAAACAGAAACAACTTTCAAAGTAAATAACGATGCTAAAAATAAATACTTTACAAAGGCCTTGTAAACGTAAATAACATTAAATACTCTCAAACAAGGATATGCGAAAACTTATTTACAAGGATCCCTGGCCAGCAAGAGTGAAAATAACTTAAATCATTTTCCAAGCTATTTTAAAGTAAAACGCTTAGCTAGTAGTAAAAAAATTTCAGAGCTAAATCTATACATGTAAAAAAATAGTTTAGGAACTGCAATTATCTTTCACGATCACAGTCTATCTAAACGAAAACGCGCGTCTTGCGCGCGCGAACGACTCGCTCTGCGCGTGGCTTTCATTAAGAACAGGACAAAAGATAAGTCACTCTCTTTCGTCTTCTTCGATTGGAAGATCGTGCATTAAAACGTTTCATTAAAGCGTAAATTCTCTCAAGAGATGTCTAAGAAAATATATGGAAACAGTTGGGTGAATTTAAAGGTTGAGGCTAGGCTAGAAAATGCTTTGAAGAAATTGAGAAGCATCGAAACTTCTATCGATCAAAGACTCGTCAAGCCATCACGCGCTAGCGATGGTCAATCTGGATTAACAATAACTTCTTTTGATTGCAGTGATCTAAAAGCGCTTAATATGGAAACACAAGCTTAGAGCATAGTTAATAGAGGGAAATGGTTACGAAACCTGGTAAAGTTCTTTGTTCTATGTTTTTGTTGGTTATTTTGGGAGTTGACCCTGCACAAAACCTGGCAAAATAATATAGGTGGTCACGTGTGCTCATACAACTAACCAATAGAAGCATTGCGATTATGTAATTCGTGCATAGTCAATGAGCATAAAACAAAAGATGTGCAGGGTCAAGGACCCTCCAACATAAATCTTAGGCTCTTTGTTTGCTTTTCTTGATGTTTACCGGGCTTCTTAACCATTTCTCTCTGTTAACTATGATTAGATTGAAATATGTTGAAATAGTGTGTCCAACTTACACTGCAAATTGATTATGATTTGCTTTCAAAAGTCGAAATATTAAATTCCTCTAGCAAATGTACCTACATTTTCCTTAATGTTAGTTTGGAGAATCTGGTAGCTTATCAAGATAATATCTCGTTTTCGATGATTTTCTTGATCCTGATATTTGTCTGCTTGACAACGACATTAAAGTATAGCGTTTGCCTTTTATCATTTGTTGTTGTACTTGTTAATGAATCTCTTGTGACGCCTAAGAGTTTGGTGTCTTTCCATTTGTCCTTTTCGTTTCCGATACAAAAATAAACTTTTTTAGAGATAGCACATAGTAATACAGTTACCGTAAACTGCCGCTGAAAAGTCCCCCCGGTTATGGGCCCATGTACTTGTAAACCAAAAACTACCACCGGTTATAAGCGCCCCTCTACCTTTCCTTCTTTGAATTTGTTTTATTATCATGTTTTAAAGTTTAGTTACCAGTAAATGAAACACCTATTTCGATCAACATGTGCAGTTATAGCTCGTTTAGAAACAGTTTTTATATTTCGGTTTTAAGCCCCCCACGGATATAAACTCCTCCGTTTATAAGCCCATCTAAAAACCGTAACGAAGTTGCATAGTCCCAGGGCTTATAAGCGGCAGTTTGCGGTACAGTAATATGCTAACTTCTTTACAGCATCTAAGATACTTTTGCCTTGTCGCGTCCACCCAGTCCTACACGGGCGAAGGAGATCGCGCAGTCTTGGGAACTTCTAACATCACTGAAGGTCTCCGAAGAGATGACTCGCTGATTCCTGACCCGGCCCGGGACCTCGCTCTTAGACTCGCCCGTGAGCCTCTTGCACTGTCCATGGACTGGTACGTGGTTCCTTTAATAAGCGCTTGTTTGATGCTCTCATCCATGCCGGCCACGCCCATTTCACCAAATACCTAATAAGGGAAGAAGAGGAGAATATGATACGTCGATTAAGGGTGCGTTCCTTTGGGGTGATCCGGATCCGGATCAGTCATCCAAGATCACTCGGATCATGGTGCATCAAAGGAACCGACGAATCCACTCTGGTCACAGATTCATCGGTTCCTTTGATGCACCATGATCCAAGTGACCTTGGATCACTGATCCTGATCCAGATCACCCCAAAGGAACACACCCTAACATCTTAAGCTTCGTAGAGGAATCCATAACTTCATGCCAAGTCGAATCTATCTACTGATCAATGAATTCATCAGTCAGTCGATCGATCTGCAGGGGAAGCAGTCATCTGTCTGACTGTGTCTGTCTGTCTGTCTTTCTGTCAGACAAACAGACAGACAGTCATTTATCAGTCAATCAGTCATCCGTCAGTCCATCCGTCAGTCCATCAGTCAGTCTGTCAGTCAGTCATGAGTTCGTCAGTCAGTCAGTCAGTCAGTCAATCAGTCATCCGTCAGTCTGTCAGTCCATCAGTCAGCCCATCAGACAGTCAGTCATGAGTTCGTCAGTCAGTCAGTCAGTCAGTCGGTTGGTCAGCCAGTCAGTCAGCTGGTCAGTGAGTCAGACGATCGGTCAATTTGTCGGTTAGTCAGTCGGTCAGTGGGTCAGTTGGTCAGACAGTCAGTCAGTCAATCAGTCAGCCAGCATGCCTTCATTCATTTCTTATAGTACAAGGGCAAAAGACAGAGACAGGTTAACAACAAAGAAACATTTCCATACCTCGACAATAGCGCCGTCAGGAAGCCTAAGGAAGTGCCTATAGAGCTCTCTCAATCCATCCAAGTGAATCGTGTGTATAGACACGTGACTCGTGATCTCACGGTGCCCAGTCTTCTTTCGGTCTGAGGCTCCCATATCAGACTCGTCAATCTATCACGCAAAGAACTGGGTCAGACCATGTCAAAGGATACATCGAGATGATAACATGGCGTGTTATCGACACATGACACTGACATCAGTCCATGAGAGACATCAGTTACTTAACACTACTTAAAGCACAGTGTTCCAAGGAAGCAGAAACGTTCTAAAGCAATGGTTTATCAGTGAAGCCCCGAGAAAATGAACAAACTTTGTAATTTCTGGAGACAGTTAAGACTTAGCCGGTCTCAAACTCCCATGTTCCCACCAAGGAACGTGTCTAGTCATCGGAAAAATCAAAATGGAAAGCTCAAGACTGTTTAATAATTAACAGCCAACAAGGAACACAAAAACTACAAAGTAGTTTTGTTCAAGCGACAACAAATTGCTATTTCTGATGGTTTCATGTACGAGAGTTAAGTTTGATGACGTAAAACTACAGAGACCCGTGTAGCGTTTCTGATAGGTTACTATTTGCGCGCGAAAATTCAAAACCAATTTACAACCAATCACAGAACCGTCTAGGGCTACGTCATCAGTATGGAATTTTCGGGTTCAGACCTCTCTCGGACGACGCAAGAATTGAGCGTGTAAGGATATGTATCTGTTATCTCAAGCTAAACTAGTCAAGCAAGACACAAACCTGCTCTTCTTCCCAAATGTAATCATAAACAGCAACTTTCCTTCTCTCCCCCTCTTCTCCTCGCCATTGTTCAGCCTTTTTGGCCACATAACTCAGCTCCACGTTGGAAATTTCCAGGTCGTACGGAATGAAGAACTCATCTTCCCTTGCATGAAGGCGGTGATACACATCCATCAGTCGGCCATTGTTGTGCAAACGCAGGAAGTACATGTAGAGTACAGATGAAGCAGTGAAGAGAGTCACAACGTACAGGAAGATTGTCAGAACGATTCCCACGGCGCCATTACCGTCAAACCGGAAGAAATGCCAGTAGAGTTTGAAGGCGTCTCCTATAGGGACGTCGCCTCCCACGTTCAGAAACCTACAACACATGCAAATTCTCCTTACTGTTTTATAAAAATTTACAGCCATAATCTATGGAGAATTTAGCTCTAAATTAGGACGGTTTTAACCTAGCAACATGATTTCAGTGACTTCCTGGAGCTGAGATTTTCTTCAAAAACTAAATTGACCACATTTTGTCGATTCTAAACTCGTTCAGTTTAGACTACTAGCGTTCTATCACGAATGCCGTTCCATTGTTGGCTACGCTCCTTGCCATCTATTAAACAATTGGATTATGAGCTCGAGATTTCTATCACGCATAGAAATCGAGAGCGAAGAATCTAATTGTTTTAGTATAAATCTAGTAGTCGTTCAAACCTTTATCTCAATCCTCTTCCCAGACACTTCGAAAACGCCAAGAAGCGGACGTCATTTTGTTAACAAGGGCCCACTGTTGCGCTACTCACTATCTATCACAGATAGTGAGTAGCGTAGCCGATCAGAGAACGGCATTCGTGATAGAACGCTAGTAGATTTATACCAATCGTAGATAGTGAGTAGCCTAGCAGTGTGCGGTTGTCAAAAGAATGGCGGCCGCGTCTTTGCGTTTTCGAAGTGTCATGAACCTGTCTTGTTGTTTATGTTTTGAACGATTAAAAAAATTAGATTCTTCTCTCTCGATTAATATGGGTGACAAAAATCTCGAGCTCATAATCTAATTGTTTCACACACTACAGAAATAACGCCAGAAAACTATAAGTGGTTGATTTGTTAAATACGCGAACCTTTGCTGACGTCATTGTTTACAATTTTCCTCATTAACAGTCGACTTTGCGCTACAAACATTTAAAGAGCTTGTGAAATTAAGTATTTGGTGTAAATTTTGGCTCTCCGGGTGTAATACTCGAGGAGAAACTAGCTTCCAAGAAGTGCAAAATTTCTGGGTGGCAAAAGCGCCAGTGAGCTCATACATTCTTTGTAAAACTTACAGTTTTAAACCCGCGTCGCACGAAAAGTATTCAATACATCGGGTTCAGATTCCTTAGGACAGTTAATCGTGCGGTATGCTTTCAATATTAAGAATTAATGTTTTTATAGCTCCATCAGAAACTGTATCGCCTATGCTTCTGAGGCGAATATTGTAAACAAAGATCCTCCTATATACTGACCTCATGAGTGCAGAATCAACGATCAGAATCCAAATAGGATCAAGCAATACATTGATGCCATACGCCATAATAAAACGAGAGAAGATGTTTGGAGAAGTCCCAAAAAGCCTCTGAATAGCCCAGGAGAAGATCACCAGCAAACAGAACAGGACGATGTTGAAGAACGGTCCTATAACTACCATACTGATCTCTTCTACTGTGTTCAAAAGCGTGCTTTGATAGTTCAGATTCACCGTGTAGGCTTGGAATTCATACCTAGTGTAAACAAAGACAGATATTGTTTTAGAACTAGTAAGCAAGAGCAAACATATACTGTAAGGTGTGTCAGTTATCATAAGCTCTCCGAACATCATGACACTGTCGTGACATAAAATACAAATTCTGACTACACAACACGAGACATTCGATGTGAATAGTTTATTGAGGATGCCTCAGTCAGTCAGTCACCTGATGCAGATGTATTCCGTCTTATAAGATAATCTGTACCCTTGCCCTTACCCTTACAACTATTGGTTTTGACAATAAGAACCTGTGCTACGCCAGATACGAAAAACCACTAAAAAAAATCCCTTTATATGTGGCCAAAAAATATGTGGAAACGTATTCCTCATCTAATGCATCAGCGCAAGACCCCAAGGAAAGGGTACAAAATCGATAAGCTACATGTAGAACATTTCACAATTTGACGACAAGCTGTTATAACAAAAGCTAGAAAAAAAAAGTGGAGGAAGACTTACTGACCTTGAATGAGCTAAATCTCCTGCCAAAAGCCTAAATTGCCCCTAACCGACCCATGAAACCCCGCATACATACATACATACATACATACATACAACCTTTATTTATACACGATAAAAGACGTCAAAGCTAACAAGCTTGTGGAGTCGTGTACTAATAAGATACATAAAATAACTATAATTAATAGATAAATAATTAATACAGTTAATAAAAAATTAATGCAAGAATTAAGTAATTCTTATAAAAAATATAATTTTGATAACAACGAATGAGATCAATAGTCAAGACCTCGCCATCGTGCCGTCAGAAATTACATCTCAAGATTGCCAATAAGATACTTACAATAAGAAGAAGAACTGTAAGACAGTCCACTCATTGTGCGTGGCCAGTGTTTCGAATCGGCCAATGAGAGTGCAGAATGTAAAATGATCGCCATCACGCCCCAACGGCCGTGGTCGGCAAAAAAAAGCCGTCCGAGCGCATAGGAAGACCGACAGACCGACAGCTTGTATAACTATATCGAACTTTTTTACTACCAACAAGCATTTGGACTTACTTGCTGACGGGAACTTGCAGAGCTTGAAGGAAAATCCACTGTCCGCCATAATGAGTGTACAGACGAATCCACCAGGTGAAGGCAATAAGCAGTAACATGGCCCAAAACTCACGGGAGCGCCACTGAGAGAGACCCAGCTCAGCCATCAGTTGACGGCCCACATATTGCATCTTCTCTCGGCCATAGTGAGGAATGTGCCCCTTATTAGACCAAGGAGGCCTATAGTTAAGAACAAGAAAACGAAAAATAAGGCCAAATTCAAACAACGAGTACATAAGACTTTTTATTTTGGATTTTCGACTCAAAAAATAGTGACGTTCCTACTATGCTGTCACTCTCAAAAATTTCGCGCCTTTTATCTGTTTTACAACAACCGCACAACACTTAAAGCGAGGAAAATTTCCCGCCTTTTGTCGAAAGTAAAGCGACTAACAAAGTCAGTCATTTTCCCGCCCTAGGGAAAGCTGATTGGCTGATTAGCAAATTAGTCCTGCTCCCGCGTTTGTACACATTTGCCAAAACCTTTTCCCGCCTTTTTTGGCGGCTGCACAGAAACAGGCAGCCAGCGCCAGGTTTTCCCGCCAACCGACAGATACTCACTGTACAGTAAATGTGTGCTCTTCTAGTTCTTCCAAGTGTGTTAACTTCTTTCTCTTTTTCTTTCGTGTCATCAGAGGTGTCTTTGGTAGCATGGTAAACATTTTCTTGGCGTGAACGTCCACTGGATTGTTCAAATGTTTCTGGAATGAAAAAAAAAATTTTGAGCACTAAGACAATTACAACTCATGCTGTAAACTGCATACGCAACGAAACTGTTCCGAAGTGCCTTGTTTGGATTTCGGGCGTCTTTATGTTGGCTTTCCAAACTTCTCAGCCAATCAGAGTACATTATTGCAAGAGCAATTTATGACGTGATTTCTTTGACGTATGCATCGCTCATATTAACTCGGTTTTTACATGGCTACGCAATGCGAAAACCAACATTAAGACGTGTCTAGAGTAATTCTTCAAATTCTCAGTGTCCACGGCAGGCGGAAAGACAGCAATTACTAGTTAAATGTTACTAAGCTAATAAACCCTCTGGAAGTCTTCTGTCATGTCACGAGTAGGCCGACAGAAAAGCACAGCTTGTTATAGCAAATCTTTCTTCGAAGAACCGAAGAGTTTCCGAATCGCACTGTCCAATCAAGAATAGCTTTAACACTCACGAGTATTCCCGAAAGTTGTTCCGAGTTCGAGCATAAAAATAGCACAGACTGTCACCCACCTTGTAGTACATTCCTGGTTGGCCTTTAACTGGCCTAAATCCGTCATCTTTTTTCAACATAAGAACTTCATCATCCGAGTAATCCGTTCCACTGCCTTCGCTTGACGCGTCGATCTCTACCGCTTTGCGGGACATGTGCATGGTAACGGGACGGGATGCCCGTCTCTGGGACACTGCTGACCCGCGGCGCAGGTCCACGTTTGAAGTGCGGCGCTGTCTTAAGTTTGGATCAGGAACAGTGAGAGACTGAAAAGACGAAGGAAAAAAAACGATCGGTATTTAACTTCACGCCACACTTCTACAGTTCTTCCAGCAAATAGGAGATACACGAAACATTCCTAACAGGGCAACCAATAAGTTTTGACTGAGTAGGACAATTCTGGACAAACACAGGAACCCCATGAGAAAGTGATGAAATCATAGCAAGATAACAAGAAACCCAAACAGTACTAGACAAATGACAGGAACTCAATAGAAATTGAGGATGAATAACGATGGCTAGGACGGATATGGTTTGCAAAATGGGAAAAATAGGACATTGACACCTCTCTGTCAAAACGAGTCTTTGTGCAGAACTATCCAAAAGAAAATGAGTTCCGCCTACAGGTTCATTTTCAGGCAAATCAATCTTTTTTTCACAAGAAAGGTTTTGCACAATGACTCGTTTTTAAACAGAAGCACAAGGAGGAGGCAGATACATGTATCACAGCTAAATAACGAGAAACCCTGCAATAATGTTGCAACTTTGGATTAAAACTGTACATAATATTTGACTAAGTGCTTAATTGCTATTACAAAATTAATACATAAATTATGCTCTTAAAGTACTGACAGAGAACAAACCATTATGCGATCTGAGCAATTTTTTCCAAGACACAAGAAAAAACTTGAACAAAATGGCAACTGAATTGTTTCACCTTACAATCCATTTCTTCCTGAACAATCCATAGTTCATATTTTCAGTGCAGTATTTAACAAAACTCAAACATTTCATATTTCAGTTTCCCTCATTTGCATGACATAATTATGTGAAACAATTTAACGGCAAACATCTTGCTAGAAATATGCCTTCTTTCTTGTCAACTGATACTTAAATATCTGGCATTGCCCCTTAAACAATCAGGTGTTCTCTTTCATTGTTAAAGATCCTAAGACAGTAGCAGTAACAGTAACTCTATAACTTAAACTTCAAGAGATAAAAGAGAGAATATTCTCACAGTCACAAGGCCTAACCATCCCGCATCCCATTAACTCCAATTTCAAAAATTAGCAATTTTCCTACTCAATATCCCAAGATATGTGTTCAAAATATCCCCTATCTCATTAATTTTTCCCAAAAATGACCTGTATCCCATTAAACCGAGAGAATATTCTTCAAGGCAGGCATACAGAGATCACATATTATGAACCCAAATTCTCACTCACTGTTCTTCTGACATCTGGGACCTCCACCTGAAGATTGTGAGTAGAACCCATGCCCTCTTTCTCTTCAACAGCTGTATCAATAGCAGCAGTGCTTCCAAAGAAACTAGACCTGAAAATGATCCAAGTCGACGAAAAATCTCAATACAGACAGAATATGTACAAGAATATAGAAATCTGTCAACTGAGAGATCTGTGGTTTTCTTTTGGCACAGCACAATATAATATTTTTTATAATATGTCAAATTATCCTCGCATTTTGATTGGTTGTCATATGTACTTATGATCTAGTGGAGGACAGATGCATACATGATGTCATTAACCTTTTTTTTGGTTCCTATTACATAAACCAGAAAGATTCCATGTTGCAATGTGTCCATTCAGTAATAGAAGACATCAAAATGTGATATCAACATCAGCAACACACTCACTTAACAGCTTGTGTGCCACTCTGACATAATATGTTCTTACCACATTTTGATGTCATCCGTGATCCATTACTGAACAGATGCACCGTAACATTTAATTGATTTACGTATTTTTTCTTTCTCAAAGATATTAGTTCAATAGAGCTACTCCGATAATTCAAGTTGAAATAAAGTGTATGTATGTATGTATGTATGTATGTATGTATGTATGCAACATGGAATCTATTTGTTTAAAACAACACTTGTAACTAAATATTCATTGCTGCAACTGCCTCAAGGACTGAGTGCCCTTTGTCCGCTAAGCCTCCAACAGTCATCAATTTCCAATTGATTATCTTTAGACAGCAGAATATTATTATTGCACAGTGAAATACAGTAATGAGTAAAGGTGAAGATATTCACATACTCACCCCACCATACTGATTCTACTACCACGCCGGCTGCTGGAGGGAGATGGGGACTTGAGATCCATCCTTGAACCAAAGATGGGCTCCTCACCATCAATGTTCTCTTCGTCAATGTTTGTACGTGATGGATAGCTGAGAATCCCTGACGTAAACTGCAGTTCAACTTCATACTCCTTCTGGCCCGCCATATACCTAGACAAAAATAACAGCACTGTTTTACTAACTACTTAATAACTGAGAGTGAGGTTTTAAAGCAAGACCTTGCCGTATTGACCAAGCAATAGCGAGGTCAAGATGGCAAAGCAAAGGTTTGAGATGTTCCCAGAAAGACTGAATGTTCAAGATTAATAAGTTGTTCATTATATGGCTTTTTGCTTTATTTTTGCAGGACTGTAATCGAACTGTGGGTATTACAGAAGAATAATTAAGTTGCCCTAGAATTAGCCAATCAGAGTGTGCATTATAGTAGCTACAAACACAAGCCATATAATAAAACATGCTAAATAAGCCATTAAACACTTAGCAACATTTTTGCAGACGTCTACTTTCCTCAGGTTGAAGTAACCAGGAGTATTGCTACAATGTATATCCCCTGGGCGGGATTCAGGTCAGGTTTAATAGAGGCAATAGTGACATTTAGCTCCAAGGTTTTCAGTGGAAACCTCAAATGGCAAACCGCTAGAAGTCACATGACTAAGCGCCGCAGTCACATTTAGAGTTCTCTTCGCAGGTTTTCAACACCAAGAAGTAGGTTTTCACGTAAGTGATTTACCTGAACATTTTATAGCCTGAATTCTATTTTTTGAATTTTGTATCCGAACCATAAATTCTCATGGCATAAATACATTTTAGTAATTTCCCTCGGTCAATTTTCTGCTAGTGTTGTTTAAACACTTCGAAAACAATCAAGCTGTTAATCTGTTTTTATGTGTCTTACCGAGGAAGTTTGACAATCTCAAAGTACAGGTTGCACAACCAGTTTTCTAAATCATCAGCCATCAGTTCCTCAATCTTCTCATGTTTGTCAATGGTGGGATCCATGTCTCCTCGAAGAAAAGGGGCTTTGTACCTGAAATCAATATTAAAACAGTTGGTTAAGTAAATGTAGGAAATGCAGTTCTGTCATAAAATGAAACTTCCCGTCAAGCAAAGGCTTTGAACTGAAATGTACTCACTTTCCATCAACAATGTTGAACTCTCCATCACAAATGGGAAAACATCCCCACCCTACCACCCTGTCTGTGGCTGTAACACTCCCCCTGAGGATAAACAGCTCAAAGACCAGGATCATGCCAGGGCGAACACCAGGCCTGGATGGACATACTGTAAACACACTTTGGTCAATCTGGAAACAGAGAGCAGTAAGAAATGTGATTATTGATAAAAAAATTAACAATCCAGTAAATAATAAGATACAGTATTTAGAGAGGAAGCCACATAATTCCTTGCTGGTTTTGCTAGCATGTCACATGTTATTAAAACACACTACATTTTAAGCAGACCCACCTTGATTTCTATATTAAAGAACTCTCCGTCATGTTGAAGTGGCAATGTCGCCCCACCCCACTGCTGACCTTTTAGATTTGACCATTTGAGAACATGGCCGCCAAGACGATCATACAGAGACACCATAAGAACGTAACGACCACCTGGAGAAAGACAGGAAGAACAAAAATTATCTCATGATGCAGCCAAATCAATGCTGGAGACATTTAGCTAGGCCTTGAAAAGTTAATGTCTTACAAAGATTTTTGTCTTCCCAACTTTCTATCAGACACCCTTCTGGTGAGAAGCTTGCTGAGTGATATCATACAAACTCTCCTAACAAATTCGTAACCATCTGTTATAGAACTAGTTGAGAGAATTTGTTCACATATCAAAAGTGAGAATTTCTCTTTGGAGATCACTGCTAAATTCTCCTGACCTGTCTGCTCGACTGTATAGATAAGGAGAAATAAAATCAACCTTTATTTTAAAACGATAGTTTTCAAAGCTACATGTACAAAGCTTGTGGGGTCATTTATCAAAGGATCTAATGTGCTAATGAACTCATAAAGATTTACAATCTATCTGAAACCTAAGATATATATCATAGGTAAATTTACTGTAACTAAACTTCATCCAGATTGCTATACAGTGTATTTTAAGTGTCAATCTTATAAGCGTTACAAATAAATAAAATCCTCTAATCTTAAGTGCATGGAGATACAGATGTCACTTTGAATGATATTAGTCAATGTTAGACAGCAGCAGAAATGTGTTTCAACCTGGTAACTTGTCCTTGACACCTCGTAGACACTTGAGCTTGATTTGGATTGGCTGTGGCGTTCTGTTCCAATCTACTTTCCAGCGACGTCCTTTGCTTCCACCGTATTGACCATCAGCCAGCATCAAATCTCCATACATTGCCTGGAGAAAAACATTAACGTCAATCAAAGGCTTTGAAAAATAAGGCAAGTTCACATTAACCATAAAATCCAGTTTTAGGCAGTGTCCACACTATGCCAGAGAAATTTGAAAACACAGCTTTATTTCTACAGTTAAGCCTACCATCCAAACTAATTCATCATGAAAACGGAGCATTTGGAAATGCTCTTCAAACCAGAGGAATTTGAAAATGTTGGCAATTCGTTTTTGTGTGGATGAAAAACCTTTTGAAAATGGAGCTTTTTCGAAAACCAAGCTTAGCTCCTTGCCCCCGAGTGGGGGCTTCACAATAATCATGTGATTTCCCTGAGTTTTCCTCAAACACAAACCCAAAATGACTGCTGACTGTTGTATTTTAAAATTCTTCCAGCGTAGTGTGGACATAAAACCTTAATTTTGATGTGTCTACGCAGTGAAACCTCCATTTTCAAATTCCTCCGGCATAGTGTAGAGGAAGCCTTAAATCAAGTTAAACTTACCACAAATTTATTTCCCCACTCAATTTGAAATTGAAACAAATTGAGCTCTCTTTGTCTGGCAATTACTCAGCACTCTTACCTTCACTTCCCCTTTCCTAGCTGTCAGTGCTTTCAGCAACTGTTCCTCTGCTCTGCGGAATGCTCGGTGGATCCTGTTCTGTATCAGTCGATCTTGCTGCATCATAAGATCCTAAGAATTTCCAACAAAAGTAGAATATAAAATCCACGGAAAATCTCACAGATAAAATGCTATAAAAAATGCAAAAAGTTGTAGATGGAAAGTTTGAAGCTACATGCATGTCTAAGTACATGGTAAAAAATATTCATTTGTTTTATATACATTGTATGTTGTGAAAATGTTCAAGACACTTCTTTCTCTTCACTTCACTCATTCAATCCACAATGTAAATTTTCACATTACCATCATGCAATAATTTAAACTAACAATGCTAACACTCACAGCTGACCAGTTCAGATCTACCATCATATTGACTAACAGGGCTTATCAGTAGGCTTATCTAATGTTATCTCACAGTAAACAAGTGATTCAGTTTTTGTCAAGCCTACCTCTCTTTGCTGCAGACGCTTGCGTTTTTCCCTCATCACCCTCATGACTTCTTTCCGAGCTTTAGCTTCTCTCATTAATATATCTTCCTGCCTCTCACGTTGTACCTTGGCCTGCTGTTGTTGGTACGCAATATGCTCATCTCGCAGACGTCGTTCCTCTTCCTACACAGATGGAAGAAAAACAAACATTGCATAAGCCTTGCAAGCAGAGCTTTGTTCTAGCTTACATGTACTACTCAAAGTTCCAGCATAAACATAGCAAGTCCCTATCATAGTCTCTATACAATTCTTACTATAGAACAACTTTGGACAAATTGATAAACAACAATAATTATTAAACAATGTCCCTGATTTAATCATTTCCATGATTCTCATAGCCTGTATGTTGATTATCTAAGGATATGGTGTGGAGAATTTAGCTGCAAATCACCCTTAGTGACCATGAATGATCAGTCAGCTCCAGCACCTTTACTGCACTGTGTAGCACCACACATCAAATATGTCTCACACATCTTGCACAGCTTATAAACTTTAGCAGTATTCAGAGGGTGAGGTGACGGACCTTGGAAGGGTGATTTCTGTTCACATAACTGAAGGTCATCTTACATGTAAGACTGGACAAAAATTAGATTTAGAAAAAGAAAGCGTGCATCTAAACCTTGTGGTCTGGACTGTAGATCTGCCTAACTAGAGAATAAAACAAAACTATAATTATTATACAAGTTGTACCTGAACCATCTCTAATGAAATATTCCCAACCATGAGGATTTCCTCTTCCATCCTTTTCTCAAAATCTTCATCATAAAGGTCGATTGGCTCGTTAGCTAGGCCCTGCTTGAGTTCCTCGATACGGCGCTGTTTTGCATGTTTTTCCTCAGGGAGTACAAGAGGTGGTGGTGATGCAGTCGTCTCCAGCTCAGACTCCCCACCTTCTAATGTTCCCATCAGCATGTCCAGGTCTGGAAGGTCCTCATTCTTGGGAGGAGCTAATATAAAAAAAAAAAACAATGACACAATACTATAACCGAACCCATGGCTTTCTTGCAACCTGTCAATCTTATTCCTCAAATCTTTGTTCCTTTCTGTGCAAACTTGACAAAACAAGCCACTCTCAAGAGTTTCGTTACAGGCTCGATATTGATTGATTTTAACAAAACAATGGAAATGGGTGCAGCAAAATATTAACACCTAGACTGAGCCACGTGTTTGTCAGCTATATGTAGGCATGCACAATTTAACCAGAAGTTCCATATTTTCTGACTTCAAATTGGATCTTTCCAGGGCTGCTCACTTCCTGGCCACTGGTAAAGGGGAACAAAGACTCTGAGTATGAGGTTGGCCACCCTGTCAATGCTGTTTGATGATGGTGCCTCCCTTTGATAGCGAATACGTGTTTCACACATCAGGGGATAGTTGAGAGAATCCCAATGTAGCTCAGTTAGGTAAGAGTATAGACAAGTACAAGATTTAAATCACCACCATAGTTAATAGAGTGGAATGGTTGTGAAACCCAACAAAGTTCTTTGTTGTATGTTTTTGCTCGCTTTTTTGGCCTTTACCGTGCACAAAACACAACAGTTGTTTATTCCATACTGAGGAACTAACCAAGAGAAACACATTGGCTACGTAACTCATGCATACTGTAAAAGCGCAAAACAAAAGATTGTGCATGGTCATGGACCTTGCAACATAAATCTTGGCATCTTTGTTTGCTCCTTTGATGTTTGCCGCACTTCATAACCAGTCCCCTCTATTAACCATGTTACCATCTACAGTAAAACACTGCAAATAAGTACACTGTATAAGGTGCAACTTGTTTACAAAAAAGTGTGTACTAGAAAAAGTGGTACTGTCTGTAAACACTGACCAATAGCCTCTATACTGAAAGTTACCGGTAACCCAAAAATTGAAGACTACATGACTTGTACAAATTTTAACAAACACAAAAATAAGCCAAAAGGAAAAGAACGCTTTCAAACAACTTACCATAATCCTCGTCCTCATCTGATGCTGGCCAGTCCTCATCTTCCTCAACAGGGGTCCTCTGGGGAGGACTATCCATTGAACGATACATTGCCCACGGCAGCTCATCATCTATCTCGTACTTGGAGTAATCCGTGCCAGTCTCTGTTTCATTTGTAACTACAGTCTGGCTAGTCAGTGGCAAAGTTCCCTCCAGGCTAGGCTCTCCCTCCCCTCCCTCAGTACTCTCAGGTTTGACTTCTACCTCCTCACCCTCTTTACTTTCAGTTTTGATTTCTCCCTCCCCACCCTCTACATTCTCAGTCTTGGCCTCCTCCTCCACAGGCACTGCAACATGTTCTACACTGTCAGTCATCTCTATAGCAACCGCATCAGGTTTCTCCTCCCATTTATCAACATTTGTTCCATCAGGTTTCTCTTCAAGTTGTTTTTGTTCAGGAGCTGTTCCATCGTCACCAACAATGTTTGTATCCTCCTTTGTATCTCTGTCTTTTTCATCTTCAGTGCTCTGTTTGTCCTCTGATGTAACATCAATTTTTTGTGCTACACTTCCTTCTTCTTTCACAGCCTCAAGCTCCTGGAGTAAATGAAAATCTGACGTTCAGTCGCAAGAAGAATTTTTTTTGAAATATAATCAAGGAAGTACACAAGAAAATGCACAAAATGTTACACCAGGAAAAAAAATCCCCACTCCTTCTTCCCTCCCCACCAGTACCCACAGAAGGTATTTTAGTTCAAATTCTCCCACCCCTCCAGAAATTCCATTTGAATTTTACACTTTCCTTCAAGTATTTTGGTTTTTGAAACCCACCACTCCCTTGAAATTTGGAATGGATTTTTTTTTTCAACTTCCCCACTGAAGAAGTGTAATGAGACCCTATTTAGAGGGGAGAGGGGGTTGGTGAACTACAGTGTGTCCCTAATCTGAATTTCAAGCCTCTCCATGTCATAATTTCAAGAGGTCCCCCGTTGACTGAATATATGTTTTACCTTAACCTTAATCAGATGTCTGTATTGCAGGGGCGAGAGTGTAGAGAGCAGTTGCTAGGAGCACATCAGAATGCATTAATTTGTGATTTGCGATAAGAGAAATAAAGATTGTCTAACACAGATCAGACTGTGATTGTTACAAGTGAATCACTCATTAGACAACTTTATACAAGAGAAATTAATACCTCTGATCCTGCAGTTGTAGATACAGCTTGTTCTCCATCACCTTTGTCCACACTCTCACTTCTTAAATCAGACAGAGTTGCTCTTCTACGCACAGTAGCGCCTTCCACTTCAGACACAACCTCTGCAACTTCCTTCTCCTTCGCTTCTTCTTCGCCGACTTTCTCTTGTTCTATATCTTTCTTCTCTTCCCCGCTACCCTCGCCGGAGTCTCCTTCTTCTTGAACTACGTTGTCCCCTTCGATCAACGTCGATTCCTTTTTTACAACAATTTCCTCCAGTTCCTCTTGCCGTTTCTCTTCTCCCTGTATCTCTATCACAGTCTCTTTCGGTGTTTCATCTACAGTGACAGCAGCCTCTAACTGTTTACTCTCGCTTGTAGCTTCAACTTCTGGCTGAATGTCGGTGGAAACACTCGTTTTAGGAGCTGCTTTTTTCTTTCCTTTCTTCTTACGAGAAGTACTAAATTCCTCGTCGTCGCCTTCTTCGTCTTTAGACTCCACGGATTCTCTACGCTTTTTCCCTTTGCCCTTCTTCTTTCCCTTCTTCAAAACGCGAACTTGACCGGTTGGTCCTTCTTCTGCGATGGAATCGGTCGGGTTTGGTTCATCCTCTTCGACTTTTCCAGAAGATGTCGTCTCACTCATCTTGACAGGAGGTCACAGAATCAAACCTCAAAGTTCCAAACCCCAAAACATTTAGCTTAGATCAAACCACAAGAAACGAGTAGATCGATACGATTGGAGTCCGCTTTTATAAACAAGATAAAATTCCCAACAGCCAGAGTCAAATCCAAATCAGTTCCTTACAACCACAAATATTTCTTGCCGGGAAGCTTCAGAGATCGGTTCGTTGCAGCAGAATTAAAAGGAAATCGATAAAAATCTAACGCAAATCTCGCCAGAATAACGCAAAGAAATATGGGTTTCTGTCGCGCAGCACCTGTGCTGTGACGTCATTTCACGGGTCTTTGAGTAAAATCCTGCGTAGCGAAGTAAACATCACCTCGGCAACACTCAAACAACAATAAAACAGTTGCTTTTAATTGCTTAGACTTGTTTCTATTGTGTGCTTACATTGGAAGTTTTTGTTTCGCTTTGAACACCTTTTTGCCTAGGAAATTGGCGATTTGCTCCCAGCCACACGTAGTTTGTACGACATACTCAAAGTTTTCAGAAAGAAATAGGAATGGCGTGATTCAACCTAACCCGATTGTGCAGAGTTTTTAGTTCTTTGAAATACCGTAAATCCCTGTATTAGCGCCTCCCTCTCGAATAAGCGCACCCTTCGAATAAGCGCCCCTCCTATCGGCCAAAATTTGAAATAAGCGCTCCATCCCCTCCCCCCATTTTGTGGACGAGTACTGAGACAACAAAGGATGTATAGTTTTCGTCATGTAGTATTGGATTTGTACACTGTTTCAGTTTGTGAACACGTTAAGTACTAACGGTGCCGCGATTTAAACTTTAGGATCATTTATATACATTGTATGTTGTGAAAATGTTCAAGACACTTCTTTCTCTTCACTTCACTCATTCAATCCACAATGTAAATTTTCACATTACCATCATGCAATAATTTAAACTAACAATGCTAACACTCACAGCTGACCAGTTCAGATCTACCATCATATTGACTAACAGGGCTTATCAGTAGGCTTATCTAATGTTATCTCACAGTAAACAAGTGATTCAGTTTTTGTCAAGCCTACCTCTCTTTGCTGCAGACGCTTGCGTTTTTCCCTCATCACCCTCATGACTTCTTTCCGAGCTTTAGCTTCTCTCATTAATATATCTTCCTGCCTCTCACGTTGTACCTTGGCCTGCTGTTGTTGGTACGCAATATGCTCATCTCGCAGACGTCGTTCCTCTTCCTACACAGATGGAAGAAAAACAAACATTGCATAAGCCTTGCAAGCAGAGCTTTGTTCTAGCTTACATGTACTACTCAAAGTTCCAGCATAAACATAGCAAGTCCCTATCATAGTCTCTATACAATTCTTACTATAGAACAACTTTGGACAAATTGATAAACAACAATAATTATTAAACAATGTCCCTGATTTAATCATTTCCATGATTCTCATAGCCTGTATGTTGATTATCTAAGGATATGGTGTGGAGAATTTAGCTGCAAATCACCCTTAGTGACCATGAATGATCAGTCAGCTCCAGCACCTTTACTGCACTGTGTAGCACCACACATCAAATATGTCTCACACATCTTGCACAGCTTATAAACTTTAGCAGTATTCAGAGGGTGAGGTGACGGACCTTGGAAGGGTGATTTCTGTTCACATAACTGAAGGTCATCTTACATGTAAGACTGGACAAAAATTAGATTTAGAAAAAGAAAGCGTGCATCTAAACCTTGTGGTCTGGACTGTAGATCTGCCCAACTAGAGAATAAAACAAAACTATAATTATACAAGTTGTACCTGAACCATCTCTAATGAAATATTCCCAACCATGAGGATTTCCTCTTCCATCCTTTTCTCAAAATCTTCATCATAAAGGTCGATTGGCTCGTTAGCTAGGCCCTGCTTGAGTTCCTCGATACGGCGCTGTTTTGCATGTTTTTCCTCAGGGAGTACAAGAGGTGGTGGTGATGCAGTCGTCTCCAGCTCAGACTCCCCACCTTCTAATGTTCCCATCAGCATGTCCAGGTCTGGAAGGTCCTCATTCTTGGGAGGAGCTAATATAAAAAAAAAAAACAATGACACAATACTATAACCGAACCCATGGCTTTCTTGCAACCTGTCAATCTTATTCCTCAAATCTTTGTTCCTTTCTGTGCAAACTTGACAAAACAAGCCACTCTCAAGAGTTTCGTTACAGGCTCGATATTGATTGATTTTAACAAAACAATGGAAATGGGTGCAGCAAAATATTAACACCTAGACTGAGCCACGTGTTTGTCAGCTATATGTAGGCATGCACAATTTAACCAGAAGTTCCATATTTTCTGACTTCAAATTGGATCTTTCCAGGGCTGCTCACTTCCTGGCCACTGGTAAAGGGGAACAAAGACTCTGAGTATGAGGTTGGCCACCCTGTCAATGCTGTTTGATGATGGTGCCTCCCTTTGATAGCGAATACGTGTTTCACACATCAGGGGATAGTTGAGAGAATCCCAATGTAGCTCAGTTAGGTAAGAGTATAGACAAGTACAAGATTTAAATCACCACCATAGTTAATAGAGTGGAATGGTTGTGAAACCCAACAAAGTTCTTTGTTGTATGTTTTTGCTCGCTTTTTTGGCCTTTACCGTGCACAAAACACAACAGTTGTTTATTCCATACTGAGGAACTAACCAAGAGAAACACATTGGCTACGTAACTCATGCATACTGTAAAAGCGCAAAACAAAAGATTGTGCATGGTCATGGACCTTGCAACATAAATCTTGGCATCTTTGTTTGCTCCTTTGATGTTTGCCGCACTTCATAACCAGTCCCCTCTATTAACCATGTTACCATCTACAGTAAAACACTGCAAATAAGTACACTGTATAAGGTGCAACTTGTTTACAAAAAAGTGTGTACTAGAAAAAGTGGTACTGTCTGTAAACACTGACCAATAGCCTCTATACTGAAAGTTACCGGTAACCCAAAAATTGAAGACTACATGACTTGTACAAATTTTAACAAACACAAAAATAAGCCAAAAGGAAAAGAACGCTTTCAAACAACTTACCATAATCCTCGTCCTCATCTGATGCTGGCCAGTCCTCATCTTCCTCAACAGGGGTCCTCTGGGGAGGACTATCCATTGAACGATACATTGCCCACGGCAGCTCATCATCTATCTCGTACTTGGAGTAATCCGTGCCAGTCTCTGTTTCATTTGTAACTACAGTCTGGCTAGTCAGTGGCAAAGTTCCCTCCAGGCTAGGCTCTCCCTCCCCTCCCTCAGTACTCTCAGGTTTGACTTCTACCTCCTCACCCTCTTTACTTTCAGTTTTGATTTCTCCCTCCCCACCCTCTACATTCTCAGTCTTGGCCTCCTCCTCCACAGGCACTGCAACATGTTCTACACTGTCAGTCATCTCTATAGCAACCGCATCAGGTTTCTCCTCCCATTTATCAACATTTGTTCCATCAGGTTTCTCTTCAAGTTGTTTTTGTTCAGGAGCTGTTCCATCGTCACCAACAATGTTTGTATCCTCCTTTGTATCTCTGTCTTTTTCATCTTCAGTGCTCTGTTTGTCCTCTGATGTAACATCAATTTTTTGTGCTACACTTCCTTCTTCTTTCACAGCCTCAAGCTCCTGGAGTAAATGAAAATCTGACGTTCAGTCGCAAGAAGAATTTTTTTTGAAATATAATCAAGGAAGTACACAAGAAAATGCACAAAATGTTACACCAGGAAAAAAAATCCCCACTCCTTCTTCCCTCCCCACCAGTACCCACAGAAGGTATTTTAGTTCAAATTCTCCCACCCCTCCAGAAATTCCATTTGAATTTTACACTTTCCTTCAAGTATTTTGGTTTTTGAAACCCACCACTCCCTTGAAATTTGGAATGGATTTTTTTTTTCAACTTCCCCACTGAAGAAGTGTAATGAGACCCTATTTAGAGGGGAGAGGGGGTTGGTGAACTACAGTGTGTCCCTAATCTGAATTTCAAGCCTCTCCATGTCATAATTTCAAGAGGTCCCCCGTTGACTGAATATATGTTTTACCTTAACCTTAATCAGATGTCTGTATTGCAGGGGCGAGAGTGTAGAGAGCAGTTGCTAGGAGCACATCAGAATGCATTAATTTGTGATTTGCGATAAGAGAAATAAAGATTGTCTAACACAGATCAGACTGTGATTGTTACAAGTGAATCACTCATTAGACAACTTTATACAAGAGAAATTAATACCTCTGATCCTGCAGTTGTAGATACAGCTTGTTCTCCATCACCTTTGTCCACACTCTCACTTCTTAAATCAGACAGAGTTGCTCTTCTACGCACAGTAGCGCCTTCCACTTCAGACACAACCTCTGCAACTTCCTTCTCCTTCGCTTCTTCTTCGCCGACTTTCTCTTGTTCTATATCTTTCTTCTCTTCCCCGCTACCCTCGCCGGAGTCTCCTTCTTCTTGAACTACGTTGTCCCCTTCGATCAACGTCGATTCCTTTTTTACAACAATTTCCTCCAGTTCCTCTTGCCGTTTCTCTTCTCCCTGTATCTCTATCACAGTCTCTTTCGGTGTTTCATCTACAGTGACAGCAGCCTCTAACTGTTTACTCTCGCTTGTAGCTTCAACTTCTGGCTGAATGTCGGTGGAAACACTCGTTTTAGGAGCTGCTTTTTTCTTTCCTTTCTTCTTACGAGAAGTACTAAATTCCTCGTCGTCGCCTTCTTCGTCTTTAGACTCCACGGATTCTCTACGCTTTTTCCCTTTGCCCTTCTTCTTTCCCTTCTTCAAAACGCGAACTTGACCGGTTGGTCCTTCTTCTGCGATGGAATCGGTCGGGTTTGGTTCATCCTCTTCGACTTTTCCAGAAGATGTCGTCTCACTCATCTTGACAGGAGGTCACAGAATCAAACCTCAAAGTTCCAAACCCCAAAACATTTAGCTTAGATCAAACCACAAGAAACGAGTAGATCGATACGATTGGAGTCCGCTTTTATAAACAAGATAAAATTCCCAACAGCCAGAGTCAAATCCAAATCAGTTCCTTACAACCACAAATATTTCTTGCCGGGAAGCTTCAGAGATCGGTTCGTTGCAGCAGAATTAAAAGGAAATCGATAAAAATCTAACGCAAATCTCGCCAGAATAACGCAAAGAAATATGGGTTTCTGTCGCGCAGCACCTGTGCTGTGACGTCATTTCACGGGTCTTTGAGTAAAATCCTGCGTAGCGAAGTAAACATCACCTCGGCAACACTCAAACAACAATAAAACAGTTGCTTTTAATTGCTTAGACTTGTTTCTATTGTGTGCTTACATTGGAAGTTTTTGTTTCGCTTTGAACACCTTTTTGCCTAGGAAATTGGCGATTTGCTCCCAGCCACACGTAGTTTGTACGACATACTCAAAGTTTTCAGAAAGAAATAGGAATGGCGTGATTCAACCTAACCCGATTGTGCAGAGTTTTTAGTTCTTTGAAATACCGTAAATCCCTGTATTAGCGCCTCCCTCTCGAATAAGCGCACCCTTCGAATAAGCGCCCCTCCTATCGGCCAAAATTTGAAATAAGCGCTCCATCCCCTCCCCCCATTTTGTGGACGAGTACTGAGACAACAAAGGATGTATAGTTTTCGTCATGTAGTATTGGATTTGTACACTGTTTCAGTTTGTGAACACGTTAAGTACTAACGGTGCCGCGATTTAAACTTTAGGATCAGCTTTTTATGTCGATAGGGCGCAGATGGTGTATTGAAAAAAATGATCATGTCAGGCCACCATTTGGGAAAAATTAAACAAGTGCCCCCCCTCGATTAAGCGCTCCCCTCGAATAAGCGCCCTCTTTTTCTAATTCGAGGATTTACGGTACACCAATTTTATTGAGTACAGTAAGTTGGGAAAGCTAGGTCCGTAATGCGTGCTAACACATTTCAGTTGAAGCCTACTGTGTTCCAAGATTTTGAGGAATCGTGGGTTCTGGCGGGCTGGGTGTTTCGGTTTGAAAGACTTCCACTCAATTATCGTTGAGATCACGGTGACCACAAATGTTTCTTCCAGCCTTCAATGGAATTTTAAATATCAGCCATTAATTATTTCAATTTTCCCTGACTTTACTTCAAAAATTAAATCAATTTTCCCTGGCCCAAAATGAGATTCACTGAGTTTTATTAACCTGCGAGCCAGCGAGCCATGCCAGCCAAAGGGCGAGCCATGCGAGCCATGCGAGCCATGCGAGTCAT